TCGGATTCTGGGTCGCCAATCTCTTAAAACCGTGACACGGTGAGAAAAAATTGAGAAAGAAAAAGAGTCCTAGTGATTATTTAAACGGGCGTCGAGGTTTGCCAGTTTGTGATTCGCACTTAAGAGTGTTGAGGTGACGCTAAGAACATTCACAACATATGAAAGTTTGCACGTTGCCAATTTTTTCTTGAGAAATGTGAAGTTGTTTAAATCTACAATTTTTGCCATGGAATTTTTCGGCAAATTTCCCAGTCGGTTTCCCTAAGTTAAACTGGAAAAAAAACACATTGGATCTAGAGTCCAGACGCTTAAAAACATCGACAAGAAAAAGTACTCTTGATTCAATCACAATCTAGCTTAGATCAAGAACCAAGCCTCATAATTTAAGCGGATTTCGTTTTGATTCAAGCAAAAATCCGATTGAATCAAGGGTATTTTTTCTTGTCAATGTTTTCAAGAGTCTGGACTCTAGATCCAAAGTGTGTTTTTTTCCCAGTGTAGGACACAATCGTACCGAAGACAATATTGATCTGACTATACGCAGCTGGGTGTCCCGATAAAAAGGAATTTTTCTGTTTTTCTATTTTGTTACAGTCATTCTGAATATTGAAAATTAACTTCATTAATTTTTAACAAAATACAACTGCGGGCAACAAGGCTAGAAAATAATACATTTACCAAGACGTTTCGGTTCATTACATCAACTTTAACATTACGAGGTACAACCCGGTACTATTTTTAAAATGTTTGAATTTTCATAAATATATTTATCAAACTGAAGAGGGTTGTGCTGTTTCCAGCTGAAAAGCACTAATAGATGACTCATAGGTGTGCGTAGATCATTTTTTACTGTCAGTGAAGAATACTTTCGAAATTTTGCATTCAATAGATCCTGAAAACTGTTGAAATTTTAACTCTATTTGGACCCATTTTGAGGTTTCTATGATGAAAACTTTAGAAAATACCAAGTGCATGAAAGCACGGTGTTTTCATTTAAGACTCTACATTTCAGAGAGATTATCATCCTCGACAAAGGGTAAATTTGTTCTTCTCTAGCTTATATTGTTACCCAAATTTGTACTTTTTTTAAAAAAAAATTTATGTCTTGTCACGGTCTGCTCAGTTTTCAACATACCTTATTCTTTCATTAATCTGTGATTTACTTTCATCAATGAGATATCTTTCTCTCGTAGTTAAGTAAAAAAGTCATTTCAGGCCAACGAATGAATTCCTTTCTCTTCCATCATTTAGTTTTCTTTTTTTGCTCATGGTTGTTTCAGCACTCATTTTTAAAGTAACGAAGAAAGCTTTCATGGTAAGCAATCAATTAAAACCTTTAAGCCTTAAGGGATTATTTTTGAGAGACAAGAAGTTCGCGGAAAATTTTACGCGTTCGAATCTTTTTTTTATCTAAAAATTGTTGAACCGTTATGAAGATACGACGGCACTTTTTTTTGCATAGAAGGGCGTTTGCGCATTGTTGTGTTTGGAGACCAACATTTTCAAACGGCGCCTAAGAACTGAAGATAGCTCATCTCAAAATATTGACTTTCCTTACGATTCTTGTCATGATCATAGCAATTTGCGAGCTTATTCGTTTTTTTGTGCTACAGCAATCTACGTAACATACCTCAGACAAGGTTGACACATGCAAAACAATCAGCTGCTACACTTCGGTACAAGGAAATTTATTTATTTTTTGCCGACCATCATAGCGACAGATAATTCGAAGAGAAGCTTTAATCCATGACCTTAGAGGCGGATCCAGCAATTTGGCAACATTGTCTTTTCTCCATTTAAACCTATAAATGTATCGATTCTTGGAGGGGCCAAGTGCTCCGACAAGAATCGATTATTTAGCATAGGTTGAAATGGAGGAAATCCGGTGTTGCCAAAATGCTGGACCCGCCTCTGCCGTGTTTCATTGTTTCTTTTGGGAGAAAAAAGAATTATGCCGTTTCTGCCCTGCGTACTTGTCACTCCATCGTTGTTAAATTTCTATTGAATAAGCAAGTTGCAAGCAAATAATCAAATACGGCATTTGGTAAGATGCATAGTCAAAGGGTGAACCATTCTTATTCACAATTAGATAAAAATTTTAACCTTTCTGCTGATTTTGGACGAAAAAATTAAACTGCTTTCATGGATAGGGATTATTTTTAAATATTTACATAATTTTCTGGTTACTGTAATGATTTCTTGCCCACAAATAAATATTCATTTCAAACGCTACAGCATCTTCTTAAAATACAAAGTTTTTACAAGTTTGACGGTTAAAAGTATATATGAGGAGCCTTTTGATAGGAAAAACAATAAATTATACTTGGTAGTTAGAAGGATTTTTACTTTCAAAATTTTGGAAATTCGAGAGCTCTTTGTAAAAACACACGAAACTTTGTAAACTTTCAAAATTTAACTATTTGCCGAGACATTTGATAAAATGTCGGATTTGATTATTTGCCTGAAATAAATACAAGCATGCGAGGCCGCAAGAGGTTTGCAATTATGGTGAAGTTTTAGATTCCCATGACTTTTCCTAAATTGAAAAAAATATTAACTACGGTTCCTAAAATTCTCTGCCTTTTCTTTTATTTCTTTAAATGATTCTCCAACTTTTTTTTACAGAGGTCACTATGATTTGCCTTGAATTTCCATAGGAATTTCAGTTTTGGGAAACTGGAGGTCTTTTCATCGTTAGCTTGAAAGGAATCCATGCAAATCAATTATTAGTCGATTCCTTTCTCTTAATTAATTTCACTCATGAGATATATGGGGGGGGGGGGGGATCTCGTAGTTTATATTCTAATGCGCTAGCCATTCACAAATCGCCACCGATGAACAAAAATGAGAATGAAGAATACCCGAGTACACTAAGTCACAAAGGCATTTTCTTAATCCGTCTTGAAGATGCCTCGAAGCATCGTATAGGCTGATTATTGAAATTGATGGACAAAAATATAGACAAAAAAGACATAGGGAATATGGAGCCTATTGGTTGAGATGGGTGGTTATTATAGACTAAGGGAGAAAATGATGGACTTACCGTAGGGTCTTTCGTTGGTTGCCGTTGGTTAATCTATTCCCTACCTCCTTTGTCCATTGCAACCACCCGCTTCAACCAATAGGATCCTTTCATATTCATTTCGTCTTCTTGGTCAATAGCCTTGTCTATCGATTTCAGGTATCTGCCCGCAGAGGTTTCGGTTAATATAACCAAAAAATTAGACGATGAACCGAATCATTTTGCTTGATTGTACCGGAAAAAACCATCTCATAATAACCAAAAACCCATGCATTTCTTTGCGTACCGACAGTGCTACACATAAACGGAACCGAGAACAAAGGAGACACAAAGGTAGTAAAAAGAGGAAGTCGGCGATTGGAGGCACCAGCGCAGCGGAGCCACGCCATGCGTCACGGATACCGTGAAAACATGTGCGCTCCGAGGTCAGGAGTTGGGGCGTGCGTGACATAAAGAGCGTAACAACCACGTGGTTCTTGCATGAGTTGCGCGGTTACTAGTCAGCACGCGGCTTTTGACGTTTTTGTGAGGGACTGAACGTTTGCGAATTTGCTTCTTCTTTCCTCTCGTCTCGTTTTGCGTTCGCGTCCGTTTTTGCGTGGAAACGAGTTGGAGCCAACGCTCCGATAAAAGCCGCATAGGTTGTCTCATTGTCAACGATTCAAACGATTTCGATTTTATGCATTATTTTAGAATATTATGCCGTGTTTAGGAAGAACGCCATATGAGCCTTTAGACGTTGCTAAATCTCCTTTGATAAAATACGAATTTTCCAGGAAACCTGTGAAAATTTTTCCTCTAATTTTTCAAATGATTTTATTAGCGATCAGATCCAAATTTCCTGAAAATTACGAGAGAAAACATTCATGACTCCCTTCACAAGTGAGTATTTACTCGGAGGAAATTTGGCAGTCCTTGAATGTTCATACGGCGCTTTTCTTTAGCACTGCAATATTGGCTCGAGCTGTCAATAGACTGGTTATAGACAGGGCACACATTTCAGCATTCCAATACATGTTACATGACCAGAATTTCACGGAGAACACGATTGGCGCTACGAAAATCACTAAATTCAGCTCGTAACGTCTTTATTTTACGCATGTATGCGTCTTTATTTAATTTTTATTTGTATTACGTCTTTACTTAACGTCTTAATTTAATTGTTATGGGAAATTCGAATTCCCCGTTCACTACACGAACAGTGCTGTACGTAAGTCAAAACCGTACTTTACTACGGTTTCGATAGGCTTCTCAATCAAACATTTGGACGTATTTCTGCCAAACGGAACTATGTGCATTAAGACATGAGCTCAGGGCTCATGTCTTAATGCACATAGTTCCGTTTAGCAGAAATACGTCCATTTATCCATTTCTAACCCTGCCTTGTTCAAAGTTTAACTAACTTGCTAAAGCATAGCCACAGTCTCAAAATTGAGGTTGCCATATTTTCATAGCGCAGAGACTGTCACACTAAACGTTACTATGATATTAAACTCAAGTACATTGTTGTTTCTTCTATGAGCGGAAAGTCAGAAGTTATGCGCCAAAAACACTATAATCTTGATAAGGAGGTAATCACAGTGATTTTCGAGTCGCAAATCGTACGTAAAATTTTGGGTGATAAACATAAAATAGAATGCTTAAATTCATACCGTGGCAAACCAAGATACGTGGTTTGGGAGTTTTATCGTGGAAATGACTCTCGGTTGAATTGGTTTCAATTGACCTCAAGAGAGGTCTTTAACTGGTGCATCAATCAGAGAGCGGTAAAGACAAGACTTTTTTCTACGTGTACAGGTGATCTAGATCTTTTGACTCAATAACGAGCACCGCGAGATAAAATAAATCCGGCAACGTTATGTTTGCAACAATTAATTACCGTGTTAAAAAAAAAGAATGCGAGAAAAAGAGCACAAGAATTGGTGAACTTGCCCGGGCTCAAGGTGAGACGACAATCATTCTCATCGCGGCAGTTGATATTTTTTGGACGCTGACCAGTCTTCCAGCACCGCAAGCTCCAGATAGCTCACCTGCAACCGGCAACCCGTTGTGATATAGTGTCTAGTGTTTCTGTGACCCAGGATACCGCATCCGCCAGTTGTCAAAATGGTGAGTTCCACCATACATTCATTCAATTATTTAGAAAAATGATGAATTATTTATCCATGTGTAACAATGTGGTAAACTATCGCTGGGTCCACATAATTTTGCAGCGTAAGCAAGGCCAAAAAAGTTCAAAAGTTTTCAATTAATGTCAAACAATTTGAGCTCTAATAAGCATCAATACAAGACTGAGGAGAGAGAATAGGGTTGCCACAGAATTTAGAGAATGGAATTCCTTGACATTTTCCTGATTTCCCTGACACATTTTGGTGAAATTCCCTGACAATTGAAGATGTGACGGGTGGTTAAGGAGGCATTTTGAAAATAGTTTTCAGGCAAAATTTCTCGTTCAAAATCTCAAACACATTTCAGAAAGCAAATGAAGGTGATTTAACAAATTTTCCCTCACATCTTCGTCATTTTCCCCGACATTTCCCAATTTTCCCTGACTTTTTAAACTTCCCTGACATTTCCCGGTTTTCCCTGACTTTTTAAACTTCCCTGACATTTCCCGATTTTTCCTGACTGTGGCAACCCTGGAGAGAGTGTTCAGCTCAGGCAAATGTTTGGATGGTGAGGTTTTTTAGTGTTTGTTTCTTGTTTATAATGAAGAAAAAAAACACTACACACGACACTTCTTGTTTATATTGATGTGTGTAAGTAGGTAACATTTAAATAGAGAGCTGACCCTAGGAAAGGGCAGTGTTTAACGAGATGGAAAACGAATGACCATTTCAAAGTATTAAGTTAGAAGTAGCTTAGAAAATTTAATGCCCTCAAAAAAGTCCTGTACAAGAAGTTCACACTGAGTTGGTTTGTTTCTCTCCGTTAGAAAGGTATATGAAAGGGTAAAACTTCAAACTCCTTTTCCTCCGTTCCTTTACGTTTAAAATTGCCCAAATGTGACATATTGGATGGAAACTCCACACATTTTTATGAGTGCAGCGTAATTATTTTAAACCACATCTTAGACCACATTAAAGTAAGAAAAAAATTGCAAATCGTTGTTTTTTTCTTCTCGGCGTGATCCACTCCTTCCTGCGATACTCTTCTAACCCCTTCCCCTTATTTCTGCAAAGAAATTTAAATAAATAATTGAAAATATTATAATAATGATAATACGCTGAAAAATATGAGCACAAGCAATAAATTTTAAAATGTTCCTCATTTCTAAAATGATCAGGGTATAACTGCCAAAAAAAGTTATGATTACACTTGTTAGGTTGCCTGAGGGCTGAAATGCAAGTATATGAAATGCGATTCATAACGGTGAGAAAAGCCACCTGAATCAACGGTACGTGAATATGTTCTTCGTTCTTTTATGGCCCAACAATTGCAATGCGTACTCAGTAGTAATTTGCACTCATTTTTCTCAACTTGGGTTGTTTCTCAACCTATAATTGAGTAAAAAAACATTTTCCAAGGTCATGATAACAAATTAGAGCTTTTCCAAATGTTTGAAAAAGTTGTTTGTATGCAAATTCAATCCTACATACTTAAAAACAAACCTTTATTGCGTGTTTTTTCATCGAAATTTCAATTAGAAACCACTGTCAGAGATAAAATTAGGAAAATGCGTACTCAAATAGACCGCAGAATTAAAAATATCGCGATTTTTGACTTGCCAAGTCAAACTTTCCGCTGGCTAGAGTACCAAAGTTTCATTGAAAGACCGTTGCAATAACTTAATTTTTGCAAAGAAATAAGTAGATCTATTTGCTACAATTTCCTCGTGAAAGTTGGATCGGGAGAAATGGCGTTTTTGTATGACCAAATTGGTCTTGCCTGACTTGATGATCCTGTCGATTTGGTGTTCCACTATCTATACGGCGACCATACCCTACCTTTAATTTAAGTATACAACACTAATTAGGTATGTGTATAACGGTGATAGTTAGTTAGTTATTTTATTTAGAGACATTCAGCACCCTAGGCTATTCACGTCTTTACAAAGAATTTGGACATGCATGGGTGTATATGCAAAAATTTAGATTTTTAAATTAAGGGAGGCAAATTTACGTACAACACCGGCTCGGTAGATGCACTGCATTGACTGGGTTAAAACCATTATTTTGATGATAAACAAAACCAGTTTTCTTTACAGTGGGCAGTTTTTTTTATACGTGCACAGTGTGCACTTTATACTGCAATTTCTTGTTTACGAGGGACCCATTTTGTGAAAAATTGAGGGCTGGCTTCGTATCTTTTTCCCATGTAACGATTTAAAAATACATAATCCTAAAGCTCCATTTCCCACCAGCTGCACTTTATATTAATACAGCAGTTCGCTCAGAAAAATAAATTCCTTCAAAAACGAAAATTGTCTTTGCCACGAAAGCTTACAAAATATCCAACAGTTCCAAGTCAATCGGGAAAATGTATTAACATTAAATAATTGTTGATGGTCTCTTCAAAATGTCACTTGCTGTAAGTAAGCCACTTCCTTGGTACAACAATCAAGTTCCTCAGCGCAATGAGGAACTACCAAGGAAACGGTTTTCCTCAGATATTCAAATCGACTTTACTCATTCTGAAGCTGTTACACAACGGAGGAAATGCCTGTGCGCGACTTTTACGTTTTTCTTCCGAGACATCTTGAGAGACGCAGAAAAAATTGCGCCGCCTCGTCCGAGTGTCCGTTTTCGCAATTATCCTTCCGCAAATTCAATGCTTTTTGCGAGTGACGCGACGAGTCCCTTGTACCATTCACCAACGCCCAACACGTAGAACGCTACCGGATACTACCGTCCTCAAGAAAAACTTCATATAAACATGAATACATACCAATATTCAATTCATGAATCTGAACATTTCTAGGAGAAAAAATGGATACATTTTCCTAAAACAAATATTTTAGTGAGGTGAATCTGGCAACATGCGAGTACTCCAAAGGCGTTTTTCCCTAGCATGGCGATATATTCGTGGTTCTCTCACCGTAGGGACATATCTTGATTTCTGCATGAGCCCCAAATTGCATGAATTTATATGTAAAATAGGGCTCACTTGGAAATTAAGATACGTCTTTACGCCAGAGGAGCGGGGTATTGTCCCGCTGAGAAAAAGTGACGAATACATATTGGGGCTTAGCGATTATTTTACAAATTTTCTGTAAAATTGTGAGGGCTTTTTTTTTGACATTTTCTAGAAAAGTTACTAGATATTCAATTCCAAAATCTGAAAATGTCTATAAAAATTATTCAAAAATTTTCTAGAAATGAACAATTTCCCTGGTAAAAATTGGCAGTAGAATCTATGTTCCAAAATACCATAGACCTACAGCCGGCTGTAAGATTTCCAATAGCTTTTATAGCCGGCTACACAATTTCTAATAGCCTAGATAGCCGATGGCAACTAAGCAACAACCAGGCGATGAAGTATATGCTAAACGTTACTAATTACGGATGCTAGGACTTAGTGAGTTTTTGGAACACTGCTTTCTTTTTGGGACGTAGTATCTTGATTTATTTTGCGAGGAAAGCTCCGTACTTTTGATGGATGCCTGGACTAATATATTAAAGCGCCTTCAGTTTCGTATGATACTGTGCAATACCTCTGGTGTGAAATAGTTGCTTCAAGCGCCGTGACGCCGAATTGCTTATATGACTTTATTCCTCAGCAAGGCAGTATAGGCGCTCAATGCGTATCCTTAATCGCTTATCCTTTGATGGACGCTATATTTTGTGTCAGAACGGCATGCGATACATCGCATCGATTAGTTCCATTTTTCAGCTACCTGTCATTTTTCTCGAATTTTGATATCGTAATTCTGTCGTCAGGAGACTAAAGAATTCACTTACCAATTTTCACGAACAAATTCATCGTAACAAAGGCGTGGTTTTTTTTAGAGGAAAAATATCACATTCGATACTGATATTGAAACTGCACACGAATTCGATAATTCCTCTTAAAAATAACCACGCCTATACCGTTGAATTTGTTCGTCAAAATTGGTAAGTGAATTCTTTAGTCTCCTGACGACAGAATTGCCATATCAAAAGTTGAGAAAAATGAGGAGTAGCTGAAGAAATGGAACCAATCGATGCGATCCATCGCATGCCGTTTTGACACAAAATGTGGCTTTTATCGAATCACCTTAATAGAATAGCGACATCAAAAATTCTAAGACGGCATTGACTTCTGCTCGATACACATTCGAAGGGATTTTGAGCTCATTGAGAACAAGTTCCGAGTGAAAAGGCTTACGTTTAATTTGTAATTACTCGGAGGTTAAGGTTTCCTTACAAATTCATTAGATGGTATCGGCTCCAGTTGCAGTGAGGATGTCCGATCCTTGGGGATTCAAGTATTGCTGTCACGCTAGGTTGTGAAATCGCTCGAGAAAACGGAAAAAACCACAGCCACAGATCAATGAGCTCTCAGAAAAACTGGAAATATTTTCTTTGTAGAGACGACGTATGAGCCTCGCAGTACTTCTAATTTTACTCCGCGCCTAATGTGTATAGCAAATCAAAAGAGGACACATCTTGTTATTTTCATGGAAAAATGAGAAAAAATGCAATCAATTTCCGAGAGCAAACATTTATCAAATAAAGCACCAAGTTGCACAATTTGAGTGACTTCACAAGTCTTATAAGTCGATTTTGCAAAGAATGGATCAATGTCAAAATAGGTGCAAAATAATGTGAAGTTCCTATCGCATGCTAAACTAATTTGACATTACTTGTTTCGTTGAAATGAAGCAAAAATGTACTTATTGCTTTGTTAACCTTGAAAACTCATCTCACCTAATCTCCTAGTACTATTCGAAGATTAAACTTTAAGAAATTTATATAATTCAAAATGGAAATTGTTTTAGATTATTTGAGTTATGGTCAATTTTTAGTAGTTCACAACTCCCAAAATGTAACAACTTAAGTTTGGGNTGGGGGGGGGGGGAGGTTGTGCTGGTGGTGCCGCAAACAAATGATGGTGAAGTGTTCAAATCACATATCTCGGTTGGGAGCATTGCAGGCTTTCTATTATACTTCATTCCATCAATAAAGAAA